GCCTGTTCGCTACCGAAGAAAGGTTAAAAATCGGATCAATGTGATTATTTATATAAATGAGATAAACATAGAAATGAGGAAACCGAAACAATTTATTTCATGAAATAAGTATTGCACGCTATTTAGCCATAAGACTGAAACTGATTGGTATTCATTCTATTTTTAATTGGTATAAATTTCAGTTAATAAACAATCAAATGAAAAGTAAGGTGAGAAAACTAGCATAGTAGTAGATATAGTTTGGCAATATGTTGAAGATTTATGAAGTTTCACAGGGGATCAAATCCTGCAAGTTCGGAATCAGAGTCTGAGCTACTACTTAAACTTAAATCTTCGGTTTCGCTACCGCTATCTTCGTTTAGGTTTATTATTATTTGATCCACGACTAAGTCGAGTGCTGGTTCCATTTCCATATACTGCTTCTCAAAACCTTTGGCATGCTCACATCGCTTTTTTCATTCTTCTGTGGGATCAGACGAGAAAAAGTCGTCGCAAAATTTGTCGATAACCTTGAGATTAAAATCCACATTTCTCTCAGCCACATATTGTTTCAAAGGTGCCCATACCAACAAAACTGGGTTCAAGTTGGGGTGATATGTTGGCAATCTCAAAACAGAATGACCTTTTTCAGACATTATTCTCTCTATTTCATAAGTTATACAGAGCTTTTCTTTAATGTCCCCCTCCCTTTGACTTTTTGAACGGATCAATTCAAAAAAATAAAACTTGGGGTAATGAAATTGATGCGCGGATACCATATCTTAGAGTAAAATTGACAGACGAAAATATCAAGATGGCCGATGGGCGCCATCTTGAAAAAAAGGGTTATATGAAAACGGGGGTCTTCTGGCACATCATTATGAAGCTCCTGACGAGTACTTTATAATCTTGAATATAAAGTCAATAGCTTTACCTACTGGTAAAATGGTGTTACATTTAATAATTACTTGAATACAAACCCACTAACATGCATATCTCTACAAATAATTGTAATTCCCTGCTATATCCGGAGCAACAGCGATAGAAACTTGTTTCGTTATTTTTTGTTGACAGTGACAAGAATATCAGTACGAAAGCAAACATCATTGTACAGTTAAAATATTCTTATTTAGTTTTCAGTTTTAGTGCTAGATACTGTTTGAACTATTTTTAAAATGGTCAATTTTCGTTCATTGGAAGAAAAAATCGGAGCGATTTTTATTTATGGTGCGACTCGTAACTTTCACGAGACCGAAAAGATTTTTAATTATCGTTTCAGGAGTCGTCCTATCTGTAGAGAAAATATTTAAGGGAACTTGTATCTAATATCAAAATATTTGTTTTAGTGATGGATGTACATTTTTCTTCAAAGGTAATGTGCATAGACGAAATTGCCGTTACTGGAGTCACACCAATTCTCACGTCTTCCGGAAAATTCATACTCAATATCCACAACAAAATAACGTTTGGGCTGGAATACTGGGAAATCATATTGTGGGGCCTCTATTCAGTGGAAAAACTTTAACCGGGGAACTGTATTTGAATATGCTGGAAAATACTATTGACCCTCTAATCAGCGAAATCGCCGAAGCGAGTAATAGTGAATTCGATACCGATATTGTATTCCAGCAAGATGGTGCTCCACCACACTACTACAGACAATTCAGGAATCATTTGGATGACAATTTCCCCGGTCGACGGATTGGACGTCGAGGTCCTGTGGAATGGTCAGCTGAGCCGGCTAAGAATAACAAATATTTGTAGAAATATCAATATTCAAAATGTTCAACGCGAAATTACAGACCGGCTGTTATTGTGTCAAGAAGTTCAAGGCAACCATTTCCAGCATCTTTTAAACTGAACTCAACGTACTTATTCGAATTATCAAGTTAAATGTCAATGTATTCAGGTAATTATTAAATTTACCACCATTATGTAGTAGGTAGAGGTATTGACTATATATTTTAGGGTTATAAGGTACTCATCAGGAACTTCAAAATGATTTGCCACAAGACCGCCGTTTTCATATAATTTTTTTTCCAAGATAGCGCCCAGCGGCCATCTTGACATTGTCATCTGTCAATTTTACTCTAAAATATGGTATCCATCAATTTCTTTAACATCAAGTTGTTGATAAGGCTATACGAATCAATTTTCAACATTTCATCAGTGAAATATGTTTTTTTGCTTTAGTCATTTTTTCATATGATCCCTCTTAGGGCACATACATAGTACGAAATTTTCCTATCTCAACATAGTTTTACGTCTTTAGCCAAAACACTATTTTGTGGTAGGATGGGAATCAGTTTATCCTTAAGCCATTTTTTATATTTACTATAGTTCATCTCACTATGATAATCACTCGACTTACTATTGGATTTAAATTTCATATATGCGTTTTCCACGAAACCACTTTCACTACCAGCATGCAAAATAATACATCTTTGTTCTTTTGAAACTGGTCTGTGAAGGGCCTCACTGGTATTATCGCTCCAACTCTTTTCATGCGTAGGTGATGTATGGATGTATGTTTTGTCCATATAAATTTTAGGACGATCTTTTTCTCTATATTCTTTCATCCTTCTCAGTGAAATTGCTCCTGAGATGTTGAATTTTTAGTTTCTCCATTAAAAGTCCTCCAGTAGTTCTTGCCTTCCTCTAACGAAATCCCATTGTCTTCATCACTTTCCTTAAAGTTTCATGTGATCCAGTGTAACTGGGTTCTTGAACAGATTTCCTCTGTATGCGCCGCAAAGTTGGAACCTTCTTTTCCGTTATGTAAAAATGCATTATAGATCGACGAATCTATCCTCCATCAAAGTCGTCGAAATCAGATTTCGGAGTATCCCTTCATCTTTTTCTGTTTGGTGTTGAAAAAGATTTAATTTCGATAGTCGATAAACTAACTTCCGTGGCCATGGCTGCACGCTCCTGAACTTTCTTCAAATCTTTAAGAGGTTTATTTCTTTCTGCTTCTGGTTCCACAAAGAATATAACATTTTCTAAAACCTCCCTAGTTTATCCTGATAAAACTTTACGTTGTAATTTGGATTTAAAATCCATTGTACGCTAGTAAATCTCTTAGCACACGAGGGAATAAATAGCGATAATTAATAGCGTAAAATTGTATGTATTCAACCGACAAATTCGTAGCAACACATACAGGGTGACTTCGAAGTCGAGTCATTTATTTTTTAACAGTGAGTAGATCTGATCAAAAGCAATATTCTTTTCCTTTACCATTTTTCTGGTAAAATTAAAGTAACAAAGTTATAGCCCTTTGGAGGTTTGAGTACTGCCCTGTCTCAATAATAATATTATGTGCTCGTGTTTGGCAACAACGGATATAATCCGCCTTATCGGTCCATCGCATCGGAAACAAAAAAGCGAAAGAATTTGGAACGATGTTTTTACAATTATTTTATTCAGTTGTATACAGTCAGTGTCAGTCGGTAACGCGTGAGTGAATAGTGGTGTCTGTTGCGTGGCTCAAACGAAATCAAAAATGGCACATGTTTACGAAAATGCTGAACTTGTGGACATTACTCTTATTTACGGGGGGGGGGGGCGAGTCTTTACAAAATTCTGCCGCGGCATCACATATTTGTGCGAATCGGTTTCCCAATCGAGTGCAACCAACCCCTCGTGCCTTTGTTAATGTAGTATAAAGGGCTCGTGAATCAGGTGACTTAAGACCTCACAATGGAGAGCATGCCGGTGCTCCTAGACCGCACGATCAAATACAGGTCCGCACTGAAATACTTGTCGGGAGGATACTTTATAAAACAAGGTAACATTTTTTATTTTTTTTTTATTTTTACGCACATATTTTGGTTTATCTCGCTTCTACAATCATTATCTGAAAATTAATGACTCAACTTCAAAGTATAGTCCAGTTGAATAGCCAAAACTGCCAAAAGTGATAATATAGCCACAAAGTTATGTCCGCTGGCATAATGGTGTAATAAAGGCTAGCGAATATTGTCGTAAGAGTTTGGTTTTCGGGAAACCAGCCTTTTTTTGTAAAACAGCGAAAACCTCAAAAAACCTCTTTTTCGCTGAAACGGGTGAGGATATCTGGATTTTTTTTACGTAAATTTTCCTACTTTTTGGACCCTCAAAAAAGGTCTCTACAAAGTTTTTGCTAAACTGCCTAGTTTTTGCGCTTGCTGATAGCTTGTTGGCGGTGAGCTTGCGGGGGCAAGGACGAGCGTACACATATCACCAGCCGCTGCACAGTTGACGCGGATGATCCACTTTTGATATTTCGACGTCCTCACTGTCTCACTCTCAATGATAGGCCAGTCGATTTCGAATAATAAGCTCGTCTGTAGTTGTGGCGTCCACCGAAGTATGCATATTAATGAATTTTTGGAATTTATGCGTTTAAGTAGAGTACAAGATGCAGTAATTTCCCTTTTCATTTCATTTAGAATTTGACCAACGACAAAAAACCTAGAGCTACAAAAAAGGTAGGTATGAATGTGTATATAAATGAGTTACAATAATAAGAATATACTAAGTGACATATAAATCCGAACACCCAGTTTAAATGGTTTTATTTCAATAAAAGTTGGTGAATGTATTTATCTTACTGTAAATAACAAGTGAAAAAATTTTCAGCCTTATCAGTTGGACATTTCGGTTTTTATACTGCTTTTTTTTTAATTCACTAACGCTCTAAAAATCTATATTTCAGCCGCAGTAAAGAATAAACGTTGGCGGATTTTGGTTAGATACCGTGGTTAGGTGTTGTCAGGCATGGCTTCGAGAAGGCCGTACGCAAAGAGCAAGGGGCACTGGACGCCGCCGTAGAACAACAGACCGTGAAGTTCGCCGCCTAAGATTATTGGCCTTAAGGGACCGTTTCTCCACTACCAGGTCCAATTGCAAATGAATGGTTTGCAGAACACGGAAGACCTATTGGCATGCGAAGTGTTTACCGAAGTTTTGGCTTGTTTTCATACCGGCCACACTGGGTCCTCCCTTTAACTCGAGAACACCGACGTAATCGCCTTGAGTGGTGCAGACAAAGGTCACTCTGGGATCAGGAATGGAACAGTATTGTCTTTAGTGACGAGTCTCGATTTTGTTTAGGCATGCACGATGGTCGTGCCAGGGTTAGAAGGCGACGTGGTGAAAGGAGGAATCCACAGTCTTTTGTTGAAAGACATGTTCATCACACTGTTGGAGTTATGGTTTGGGGTGCTATAGCTTATGGTTCCAGGTCACCTTTAATCTTCATCAGAGGTAACATGAACGCGCAGCGTTATATCCACGAAGTTCTAGAACCCCATCTTTTACCCTATCTTGACACCCTGGCAGATCCAACTTTCCAACAAGATAATGCCCGACCACATGTTGCAAGAGTCACAATAGACTTCTTTCAACAAAATGATGTCACATTGTTACCATGGCCACCAATATCTCCCGACTTATCCCCAATTGAGCACGTGTGGGATATGATGGGTAGGAGATTGCTCAATTTGCAACGTCCTCCTCAGACTCTAGAAGCACTTCGAGAGGAGTTGGTGGTTGCCTGGAATGAGATACCACAGGAGGACATTGGCCACCTGATCAGAAGCATGCCTAGGTGCGTTGGAGAATGCATAGCACATCAGGGTGCATCCACACATTATTAAAGGTCAAAGGGCATTTTGAAATTTTTATCATTTACTTATTATGCTTCATTAAGTACTTATACAAAATTTTATTAAAATAAAACTTTAAACTGGGTGTTCGGATTTATATGTCACTTAGTATACATTACAGGATGTAGAAGCCGAATGAGTCATCAAAAGACTCGTTTTCGAGGCTCCACGTTATTTTCATAATCATCCTCGTAAATCAGTTTGATCACCGGTAGCTATTGATCTACATACTACAACCATGATAAGAGATTTAGCAGTTGTTGAGCCGCGTCTATATGTTTGGCTAACATACGTCAACGCAAATATGTAAAGAATAGACAATGACCGATGGTGATGAGCATTTGACGATGTCTTTTCTGCACACTCCCTGTGGAAACATCGGTGAACGCCAAACTGACAAGCGAGCTCAGGGTTCGAAATTCAACTGGACTATTACTGAATAACCCCCACCATGTAGTGAGAGAACGTCTGCGTCGTCAATGAGCGGACAGCAGGGCTGGCAGGCGTGGCGGTTTTTCGCCAAAGTGGCGATTTGACGATTTGACGGCATCAAATGGTGAATAAAGGGGATAGCTTGGCGATTGGCTACTTTAGTGGCGACCAGTATCCAGCAAATTGGAGATATATGCCGATTTTTAGCATTCCTGACGCCACTTAATTTGAAATCCATTTTTGCTGATACATAATAATAATAAATCATATTTATTTCGGGGAAGAAGTAGCATAATGCTACTCAGTCACTCACCCCGCCCCCCAAAGAAAAAAAGAAAAACTGAAAAACAATATAAAAAACATGATAGGTTGTTTTGGATTAAACGAGAAATTCAAAAATCATTTTTATTTGGCAAAAAACCATTGGCGCACAATTTTTTTTAAATATCAATATCAATACCCGTACGCACGCCACTGTTAAAGCGAAAAATTTTTTTTTTGTTCCTAAAACTTCAACACCCCAAGTTTTTGTAAGGAAACATTTTTGGACCATAGTTCATAAAGCAAACTAACATTAATTTTTCATGTAGATACACACCCTTAAATATTCGCATATCATTACTCTGCATATGGTTTCTTTGTTGAATAACGAAAAATTTACCTAATTCTATCTTAATTAGCATTTCATTAATAGCAAAAAGTCTTTACTTTGCCCGAGTGTCCCACTAATCTGCTAACATTACTCCCTCTCTAAGAGCCAATTTCACCAACAACAGTCCGTTATTCTCCACCTATAGGGTAACAGGCCGTCAAATACAGCGAATGAGCTTCAAGTTCCAATCAACAAATTTTAGCAACCAATAGCTATGAAATGTTGAAAACAAAATACTGTCAAAGTATGAGATGACACCTTGTCATTTAACCCTTTGACGCCTACTGGTTTTACGACGAAACCACCTGAATAAGAATTAATTTCTAATCGCCGAATGGTCTTGGTGCGTAACCTCATACAGTCACGTGCCCTTGAGACTCCATCTGATAGGCTTTGACAGTTGCGTCGGTTGTATTTGGTTTCCTAGCGTAATGATAACGTTCAGTGTGCGTTGTTGCAGCAAACAGGTGGTTGATCAAAATAAATAGGGGATTTTTCGCTGTTAGATAAACAATGGGAGGTAAGTAAATAGATGATTTATATGATATGATGTTGATCATGATTGTAAAATATTTGGGGATTGAATTTGACCAAATTTAGCCCATATTTTTATACAAAAATACCTTCGGTTACGTTATGAAACCAGTAGGCATGCCGTGTTTTTTTTTTTCAGATCAGAACAAGAAATATTATTTTGCCGACTTAGAAAAGATGAGTTCAGATGAACACATGAATGAAGATGTGCAGGATATTGCTTGTCCTCGTTTAGTTTTGGAGTATAATAAGCACATGTGTTATGTAGATAAACTAGACATGTTGAAGTCAATTTATGAATTAGATCAAAAATCTAAAAAGTGGTGACTGCGCATTTTTTGGTATTTACTTGACATATCCCTGGTGAATGCATTCATAATTTTCAAGAACCGAAATACTACGACTAAGTCCGGCAAATGTATGACATTGAAGGATTTCAAGCTAGCAGTATGCTTGGGACCTATTGGAGCAGACGAAAATATTCCAAAGAAAGGGCGGATATCGTCAGTGCAACAAAATACCTTCAAAGCCAATGTGCCTCAGGAAATTCGATATGATTCTTGTGCACACATGCCAATTCATGGAAGTTCAAGAAGATGTGCTTATTGCAGCTCTACATCATCACCACACCGGACGAAATGGATTTGTTCCAGGTAAAGAAAGTAATGCTTCATCTTTTTAGTTTTAGCAAAAACTTTTTTTTCAGATGCAACGTTGGATTATGCCTCAACGCAAATAAAAATTGTTTTCTTCCGTATCACAAACGATAAATGGAAAATATCGGATTTGTATTCTTTTATTACTTGAAATAAAATTTTGTTTAAAAAAATCGTTAGTTCCTTTTACTACCTAGTGGTTTCATAATGAAACCATATTCTAAAGCATTTCAGGATTAAAAAAAATAAATAAAACGTGTAAAGTTATAACATATTGTTCACATTTACCCATATTAAAAGAAAAAGATTGGCAACTTCGAAAAAAAATTAAATCCGGCGTCAAAGGATCTTAAACATCATCAGCTTATTGAATATTAAGAAATTACATATAATTCAGTCAAAATTTAAACAAATATTTGATTTTTGAATAAAATTCATGATTTAATTACTATTTTTGATTTTTATTCATGTTTATATTATTTTCTCCAATTAATATGCGATTTTACTGATTCAAGATCATCTACTGGGTGTTTTTTCCTATAAACCTCTTGCAGATAGCCATTCAGCACCTACTTGATGACTGGCTCAACCAAAAAGTTCATAGACATTGCTCGTTTCCAAACATTCATTCATTTACTTGCCGTTCATCAGAACCAATATGGCACCTTAGATTGATATTCCCACAAAACCATTCTGGTTTTATAATATCCATACATCCATAAAGTTGAATATTTTTCGTTGTTCAGGAACTTAACAACCATCCACACTATATTCACAGCGATTAAGTAATACCCAAATATATGCCGTAGAGCTACCAGCAAACCTAAAACCTGCAGAAAAACTAGAAATTTTCAATATTTTTCTTTTTTCACTGAGTAAATATTCTGGGTTATATTTATATTAGACGTTATTTGAATCACAAAACATATACACTGATTTGAATAATAGCTGATTATCTCCTGATATTTTAAAACTAACCATATCGACAAGTGACACATAATTCTGTGGGATCCGTCAACACTTCGTCCCAGTGGAGAAAACTCTGCCAACTGTCCAAATAAACTTTATTAATTCCAAGTGTTATTTTTGTTTTACTGTGGCTGCTTAGATATTCAAATACGGCCAGGAGTTATTAGCGCCTGGCTATTTTAGGCCTTCAATAACTCCTTATTTTGGATCTCCCCTTATTTTGTTTTTTCCACGCATTCATGGTAGAAATAAAAATATTTTATCGAATATCGATACCGTATACCGTGCAGCAGGCCGCCCATCACTACTTTGACAGATCGCAGAATGATGTCAAGGTGACAATCGTTATGTGGCAGTTGTTTTTGTTTTGTCTGAAATAGGTATGTAGGCTTTGTGTATTCATTTTTATTTTTATAACGTTTCCAGAATTTCATATTTCGAAATGATGTCAAGGGCCGGCAGGGGAAAATCTTTCTCTGAGAAATTTCGAGATTGCCATGAATTAACAAGTCAAACCTGCTGCCAAATTTAACAGCTAGAAAATTGACCTATTATTTCTCCCATTCCCATTCGCTGAGGGGATAACGGATGGTCAAATGTACACCTATAACATAAATCAAAATACATGAAAGTTGTCCTGTTTTCTCTGTACAAAAGCATCATGTTGAAATCAAAAAGTGGTCTTGTTTATAATACAGTCGAATTTTCACGATTTTATTCAGCATTTTAATAGAAATCACTGATATTCTGAGAACTTTGGCAGGTTCCGTCAAATTGAATTTCGGTAAGGTATTTTCCTATTGGTCCATTATATTAATGTTGGTGAAATCGGCCCTTAGTCCAATATCCGCGAGCTCCACTGACTGGGTGACATAAAGAAAAAGGAAAGGTTCCAATAACATTTCTATCCGGCGATCCCTGTATACATTCATTGTCCGCAATCGGATTAGAGTTATACTCCTTCAAACCCGTTCCAGAATGGCCCACGAGTGACACAATGGAGCAAGCCGAGGACGGACACGTTCCTTCCTCCTTACTCTATCCTTCCGTTCTACTAGCCGGTGACCAGCAGCTATTCAGCTCCAGATTCAGCTATTGTAGGAGGGGCCGACATTTTTAAACATCGAATGCCTGTGTCCGAAACCCCCACATAATTGGATTACTATCGCAAACAAGGAACGGGACTGAATCAGCTACGGTTGTTTGTTTGGAGGATGCTAACTACAGGGTGTGAGAGATACTCTGGATGCGGTAGTTGGCTAGGTATCACAGACATTATTTTATATCTAGTTATATTCCCAGTTTCTCTATTTTGTTAGGATTAGTAAGGTCCCATCGGTATATGCTTCATAAAGTAGTTGGGTACTTCTCACTTTTGTGATTTTTTTACGCTTGTCTATTAAAAACTCAAGTACTTGCATTAGTCATTCAATTTGCATCCATGAAATTTATATTGTTTGTTTTGTTTGAGTGATGTACAAAATTGTAAAACATATTTCAATTATTATCAAAAACGTCACCTCCATGTAGTGTGCAAGGTCCACTAAGGGTCGATTTTACTAACATTAAAATCCAACGTTGTCTTCTACCAATTAGGGAACATCTCATTGAAATAAAATTTGCAGACACCAGTCTGAGCACCAGCTCAGAAGCGTTGTTAAGGACGCTCGAAGATAGCTTTCGAATAGTGGGCATCTACAGGGTGACTTTGAAGTTGAGTCATTAATTTTCAGATAATGATTGTAGAAGGAAGATAAACCAGAATATGTGTGTAAAAATAAACAATTTTTACCTTGTTTTATAAAGTATCCTCCCGACAAGTATTTCAGTGCGGACCTGTATTTGATCGTGAGGTCCCTTGTGAGGTCTTAAGTCACCTGATTCACGAGCCCGTTGTACTGCATTAACAAAGGCACGAGGGGTTGGTTGCACTCGATTGGGAAACCGATCCGCATAAACATGTGCCATTTTTTATTTCATTTGAGCCACGCAACAGACACTATTCACACGCTAACCGACTGACACTGACTGTATCTATAACTGAACTGAATAAAATAATTTATTGTAAAAACATCGTTCCAAATTCTTTCGCTTTTTTGTTTCCGATGCGATGAACCGGTAAGGCGGATTATATCCGTTGTCGCCAAACACGAGCACATGATATTATTATTGAGACAGGGCGGTACTCAAACTTCCAAAGGGCTATAACTTTGTTACTTTAATTTTACCAGAAAAATGGTAAAGGAAAAAAACATTTCTTTTGATCAGATCTACTCACTGTTAAAATAAATGACTCAACTTCGAAGTCACCCTGTATATACTCAGTGACATTAGAAGTGTTATACCCAGGAAAAACTAATTTTTTCAACTTTGTTTTTTGGCAAAATAATGACTATATTTAAAGCATGTTGTGGCAACAGTGTCAATGGTTTATCTCTTTTTTTGTTTACCTATGTTGAGATGTTATCGCTTAGTTTTTGTAAAGAAAGCAGTTTCTGAGAGCTGAGTAGTACAGATTCTTCTGGTAACTGCTCTTTCATTTACTAGTGTTAAGCATAACAAACTGCCGTCAAAAATGTCACCTTGTTAGCGACTCTGACCGGGATAGAATTATAGTCTATCGAGACGCTTGTCCTATCGGGAAATTGACGGTAATGCGTGTGTGGATAGAAGAAGACAGAGGAAGACGAAGAAAGCCAACTGGTCCACCGAGGCGTACCACAGAGCCTCAAGATAGGCGCTTCAGACAACTGTTCCTACGAGACCGTTTTGCTACTATGCGTCAGATCGCTGAGAAAACGGTAGACCTGTTACTATGCGTACTACACTCTATCGTCGCATTCGAACCTTTGGACTTTCTTCAAACCATCCACGGTTAGTGCTTCCTCTGACTGCGGACCACTGTCGTCAACGTTTGAAATGGAGCAGAGAACGGCAACATTGGGGGGCAGAATGACATGACATCTTCAGCGACGAATCGCGATAGAAGGGTAAGACTAAGACGCCGCTGTGGAGAACGGCGTGATATTGGATTTTTCGTTGAGATGCTTATACACGTTTGCCTACCGTATCCGATCACGCCTTCTCTTCGTTCAAGGTAATATGACTGCTGTGCGTTATGTTGATGATGTCCAACAAATCAATTTACTGCCGTACCTGGAGGGCCGTCCACAAGTCAATTTTCAGCAAGAGAACGCACGTCCCCGTATTGCTCGTCGTACTGATGTGAACAGGGCTTTCTTGTCAAGGGAAGGGGTGGCTTCCGGCAATATCAGCTGCAAAACAGCTACAAGGTAGCTACAAAACAAAGCTGGAGGAGTGTGTGATGGTTCTCCGCAATTCCTTCCCTCGCTGAAGATCTCATAAGAAAATGGACGGGGTAACACCCAAACTCAAACAACTAAACATAAGATACAATGTAAAGGGTTACTACTCCACAAACTGGTGGGCGGTACCTAATGTTTCAGAATCTGAAGGTTAAACAAATGACGTCCAACGTTTAGAGCCTATCATTTTAGACATACAAGTACACAGCGCCAAATAATGTATTGAATATTTTGAACAGGTAAAGTGTCATCTTAATTAACTATCTTATAGATATTATTTATATATTGATTATTGCTTACTGAAATTCTTAGAGTGTACCTGATTTTGTTTGGCATTTTACGTACCTAAATATGGGGCAGTGCCTACATGGCACCTTCTATTGGGCATTACATTACGTTGATCATGATTTTGATTTTTGAGCTGCTATAGCTTTATTTAAGGACAAGGGATAACATTCTGAGATAGTCGTTAGTAATACTATAACATTAGTGGCCAAAGATTTCAACACTACTGAATCACTGAGAAACAAAGATATAATACAATCAATAAACTATGAAAGTTACCAAAAGAAAATCATTGGAAAGGGTTTGGCATTGGAATGGGCACTGTACCATTAATAAAGGGAAATTCAAATTACTAGTATGTACGTGATCAAAATAGTAAAAAAAAGGTAACGTGATTTTGGCACGTGACAACGGACTTTCTTCAAGAAGCAGGCGTTATTGTGCACCGGATTTAAATTCTATCGAACATGTGTGGAATATGACGTGACTTTCCGCTTTGCAATATCGGATATACGCTCTGCCACAGCTAATCCACGAAGTTCGAGTTGC